ACATTTTCTAGAACTGCCTTCCACAGTCTTTATTTCAAGGCAGAAGCCTAATTTTGAGATTTCAAAATGCCCCATCCAACCTTGCCTCTTCCTGTCATTTATATTTGCTTTAAAAATATATGTACGTTTTTATCATTAAACAAGTAATAGGTGCTCATTATTAAAATTTAAAAAAAATAGGAAAAACTTAGCAAAATAAAACCATGACCTGGCTATTCAAGGATGACCTATATTAACAGTTTCATTTTTTTCCTAAGTATTTGGCATCCTCAATATATAATACCTATGACATATATGGTTGATAAATAAACAAATACGTGAATGAATCAATAAGTCACATTGTAGCTTCCTCTCACATAAGGAATATACAGGCTTAGGAAGGGAGCTTGGGTCAAATTCTGTGTCTGTGCTTTACCAGCTGCAGCTACTCAACTTATTTATGCTTCAGCACTCCTTCTGTAAAATAGTTATAATCGTCCCTCCACATAGGGCTCGGAAGATTAAATGTACAGCACAGGCCTGGCACATAGTAATTCTCAGTAGAAATTGGCTGTGATGATCCAAGGCAGAAAAGGGGGATTTCACTCTGAAGGGAAGAATGTGGAGTAGAAATTGTTGGGGGGGATGGATTTTGTATCAACATTTGAGTGTTTTTTCCCCCCAATTGCAATCTTTCAAAATGGCATGGGACACCTTAAAGAAAGGAAATAAGAGATGGTTTGAGCAAGATCAGAATGCCTTCGGTATTACAGAGATTCATATGTTAGATAAGCCTGAGAAAGGTAATTTCTAAGGTCTCTACAAATTTTGAGAGTGTGATTATAGAATTTTGGTTTTAGAATAATAATCCCTTCCTAATGTGTTTTTTCCTCCACAGTCAAGGAATTTGCCCATTTTCCAAGGAATCAAAAGCATGTAGTCAAATAGAAGTGACTAAAATGTAGCTAGAATGGTGGTGATTATGTTCCCAGGAAAACTGTTAGTGCAGAAGGACTCTGGAAGGAATTTCATGTACTTCTGCTCTGTCCAGAGGGAGAGTTCACAGGGGGTACAGGATCCTTGTGTATGAAAATAAGGGTTAAAAGCTTTTAAATAATTTTATCCAAACACTGTACATATTTTTCTCCATCACAATTAGTGACATTCTGTTAGCTTCTTAGGATCTGAACATATGTAATATTATGCAAATATTGTTTTAAAATTAAAATGAACCCAGAATGACAAATGCTTCCCAAGTGCTAAGTTTGCAGTTTATAATAAAAAACAGCAAAATGAGACATCTCTATAGAGAGTTTATTTCTATTTATTCAGAAATAACTTCATGCTATTATGTCTGTCATTGTTAATTTAAATAACAGTTGGACAATGTTATGTGTATTACTTGCTCTTATGTGTTTTATTAGCTGAGGAGAAAATAGTACATTGCAAAGTTTGCACATGACATAAATATCATGCTATTTTCTCTAAAAGACAGCTTAAAACAATGTTTAGGTTAGTATTCCCCAGTTTGCACACCAGAATTACTTTGGTTAATTCAAAAATTATACCAATTTTCAAGTTTCCCTTCTCTTGTCTTTCTGGCAGCATCCCAGGTATGAGAGTAAATAATTTCAGAGGGCAAGAAGAAACTTGGTTTACTATAAAACTTCAAACTCTTTTCAATAGCAGTCATTGATTAGAAATAGGAACATAAGTTGGGTTAATACTTAAAGATAAAATCCTTAAAGCAGCTTGCATTCATTTGTTCCTTCCCTTTTTTGTTCAAAGGAATAGGTTAGGAGTTCCCAATGCCAGGCTTTTTGTCAGGTGTTCCCTGAGCTGTATTTCCCTCCTCTATAAAGTGAGAGATACCTATGCCACAGCGTCACTGAGTGAGTTAATGATAGAATGGCATACCCATTTGTTTAACAATGAGTAACATTAGCAATCATTATCAACATCGTTATGCTATGCTATATATTATTATGGTTGTTAATTAGAAGTTTGTTTGTTTTGATTAGTCTAGCCTTGCAAACATGATGGTCAGTAAAAATTGACTTCAAAATTTCTAATTAGTTTACTCAACTAGATGATAATACTAGCAGATGTGTATAGAATCTATACACATAGAATCGCCTCATCATTTGGGGGTTAGAAAAAATGTGGGCCTAAAATATCTTTGAGCCTTCTGGAGTATAAGAAATATACTTTTTTGTCAGTATTAAAAATACTAAAAAATCTTTTGTCAGCTAAAAATAATCTGTATCAGTCATTTTTCTACAAACTACATGGGTATTAGTCTGTTCACACTTATGAAGTAGGTTCTACCTTTATCCCAATTTAAGGATGAAGAGCCTGCAGAATGGAGAGGATGGGTATCTTGCCTGAAGTCACTTCACCAATGGATGTAGAGTGGGAACCTGAGCCTAGGCAGCTCAGCTCCAGAATAGATTTACTGAACACAAACTTCATCATGATTGGTTGATTATTAAGTGGCCAGAGTTCTTTCATAATCATATGTAATGTGTTTTCTTTTCATATTAGGGGCTTATCTGTTTTTTCTTTTCAGTTTTCTGCCTTCCCTGAGTGATTTTAAAATCCAGAAATGCAAGAAAGGGCACTGTTGGACTTTCTCACTATTATCGTCTCTGTGCCTGGGATAAGGCCTGGCACATACTAGGTGTTGTTTAATACAAATTTGATGAAGAGATTAGTGAAATTGTTTGCTACAAAGAAAAAAATCAAACCAACTTACATAACTCAAATAAACATGGTTGAATAATATTTATTTCACCTTGCCCTCATTTTATTAAAGTCTATTTGCATTATAAATATGCATATTTTTAATGTATATTTTTATATAAGCTCAGACTTCACCTAGTTCCAAGTGATGCTCATAATCATTGTTCATGCTGGAAAGAATATCTCATCATTGTGCTTATGCAACTGACACAGCTACTGCACATGAATACATTTTCCAATCCAAATGTCAGAGAATAAGATCACCCTGCTTATTTTCAACATTATCTAGCCTTACCCCCAAGTCCTGTGGTTTTGGTTCGGTGATCTGACACTAACTAGAGATGAATTTCTTTTCTAGTAGCAATGTTAGCTGAAAACAAAATACTAATGTGGTTTGAATTCTGTTTCTTTTGCCAACTCTTAGCTGTCAAAGTATAAAATTATTTGTTTAACATAGTATCCCATTTTCAAACTTTAAAGATTCTTTATAAAAAGGAATAGTCCCCAGGAGGGATAGAAATAAGTATGATTTCATTATGAATATGCTGATTAATTCTTGACATGTAATTATCGCCATATGTATTGAATTCTTATGATAAAGTTTACATCCCTTTTTATTCCTGAGTTTCTTCATTCTGATCATTTGCAGTGAGGCATATTGAACATCATGGGGTAATCTTCTCTTTCTTAGAAAACGCAGCGTACTTGTGCCCTGGCTATTTGTCACTTATGATCCCAGCAAGAAATTGATGTCTCCACATCAAAAGTAGTAATTGGAGGGTTTGTGACAAAGTGTTGCAAAGGTTAATAGAAACTAACAGACAGTGAAAAACATCCTGGGGCTAAAAACTGGGAGGAACCCGTTACCACTCTTAGCTCTACAGGAACCTTAGGGAGCCAACAAGTTTAAGGATATGTGGACTAAGGCAGCTGCCCAGGTAACTAGGGCCAAATTGCTGCCTCACATGGAGAAGACAAGTCAATAATTATCTTGTCTTCTGACCTCCTGCTATGGCCTGTCAAACCCAACCTGCAGCCTGTTTTTTTGCAATTTATACAGAGTTGTCTCCTGAAGTTTTGAATAGAGCGATGAGTGGAGGGAAGATCTGGTGGCCTGGGAGGGGGCGGAGCACGCAGGAGAGTTGTTTATTCAGGAGAGTGGCTTGAATTTACTTTATAAAACACATGTACAGTTTAATATCCCAAGCAGAGCCAAAAGGCATAGAATTAAACAGGAGACATATGTACACACATAATCACATACCTGCATGCATAAATGAATATTGTATCTCCCTGGAAGGTTAGATGCTATGTTCTAAAACTAAGTTAAATCATAAATTTAATTACTTCACAAGATCATTTAATTAAGTAAAATAAACTTATAATTGAAAAAACTGATCTTATCACTTTTTATAGAAATCATATAGATTACAAACCTATATATAAAAGAAAGGTCTTAATTAGACTGACTATTTACAATGTATTTAGTAATTTTAAAAAATCATTGAAAAATACCAAGAAGCCATGGAAAGTAGGTGCTTCAAGAAAGCATGGTTAATAGTGCTGAAAGCTCCTGGGAAGTCAAGTTCACTGATGATTGAAAATTGTCAAGCATGAAGCTTGTGAGAATCATGTAATTGGAATTATGGGTGCACAAACTAGGGTACAGTGGATACATGTAAGGATATAGATTCAGTGTAGATAACTATGCTAGGCAAGGGGATGAAAAGATGATAGCTGGAGGGGGAGCTGGAGTCTAAATTATTTAATAGGATAAACTTTTAAACATGTCTCAGAACCATGAGAATGATACGCTAAAGAGAGAGAAATTTAACAGGAAAGAGAAAGGATCATTAAGAGAAAGCTGTGGTAACACGGACTGAGTTATTTATTGTCTCTGCCTTGGTTTTCACAACTATGGATGGGGAAAATATACCTACCTCATAAGATTATTCTAACAATTAAATAATATGTTAATAGAATGTTTAGTAAAAGTTTGGCATACAGAATGCATTGAATACATTGGTGCTTAAAATGGATCCGGCACCTAACACTACCTCATACTTATTAGATGGTCAACGTATATTTGTTATATGTTGAATGAATATGAATCTGTTACATGATTTTTGATTAGTTGGGAATATAAATGAGTCAGGTTCATGTTACGATACACTAGTTATAGATGCACCTTGACTATTCACTGATGATGATTATGATGATGATACTATTTAATATTTGCCACCTGATGATGTTGGTGTTTGGGGCATTTGTGTTCACAGGGTGCCATTTTCCTGCCTGGAAATAAAGTCCTGGAACATCCCTGCAATGAAGAGAGTCCAGGGAAATTCCTTTTTGAAGTAGTTCCAGGTAAGGTGGTTTTCTGGTTTGATTGCATTATTGCTGTTCCATATTGGTAAAGGTGAAAACAAGTCAGACAGCCTTTATTCATGGCTGAGAACTTTAATTTGAGGAGGCAGGTATCACATTTGGTTCCTATTTACAGAGATAATGACTCCAGGCTTCTACACTTGGTACAAATGAACGTTAGCGCGCACACACAAAAACGCATGGCCACATGATTATTGGATACCCATCTGTCCACAGACTCCGGAGTGACCAGAAGTCAAGACACAACATCGCTAAGACACTCTTGGAGACGAGTTTCTTGCAATATGAAAATTTTAGCAAGGTATTATAGGTAGACTGCATTCTCCAGCTGATTTACTGCCATAATTTCCTCATAAAATGACATTGTAAAGAAGCCTTTGATATAAAAACAAAAGAAAGGAAAAAACCTCCTTCAACAACTAACAAAATGTTGCAGTTCTGTACCTCAACTTTGTTCCCAACCAACCACTTCCATATGTTTGGCTTGTAAAGTTGAGGATGCCTCTGCCAAGTGATCAGATCCTGCAGTTAAATTTCTTCAACATCTGTTCTTTTTTTTCCTTCTATTCATCTTCATTCATCCCTCTCAGAGTACCTGGTTTTCACTTAAACCTTTAACTCACCCAGCAACAATTTCTTCAAGGCCATCAGCAACTTTTTGGATGAGATTTTTAGCCCTTCCTTAATCCCTAATGTAAGAAAAAAGAGAGGGATGTACTTTTTATAGCATTGGCTCTGACAGACCCAGTTGATGTGCAATTGACATTGATTTACTCATAGTCTAGGGTGAGTTTTAATTTATTTGGGTGACTAATATGTAATGCATATCAATAAAGCTGGCACAGAGGCAATCAACAAAATATTTCCCCCAGATTTATAAATGTTGGGAATCTAAAATGTGAAAGCATATTTTTCTCCTCAATGAAAACAGCTGTAGCATTGAGTTCATCTGGCTCACAGTGGAATCCATGACTAAATGTTAATTAATGCAGCTGAAGTGCAGAAAGGTTAGTCAGATGCACTGTGTTATTTGTTTCCCTCCAAGGAGAACATATTGCAAGAAACCTGAATCTTGTTTGCTCTATTAAGAGCTTTTTTATACTTACTTCTTAGTGGAATACTCTGTATGGGACCAAATTCCAGATGTTGCAAAGTCTTTGAAGTATCAGAAGTGGAAATTTCTTTCCCTATTTATCCTCAAACATTAGGGCCCGTTGGCTTTTAAATGAGCCTGGTATTAAACTGACAGCTTTGGCTCTTTATCTCCAATGTAATTTGAAAGGTCTACTACTGTGTAGAGATTCCATCTTTCTCTTGTTCTGATGTAATATATATGGATATTGTCAAGACTCCTAGAGACAGCTGTGTCTTCGAGCTCAGGAAGTCACGAAACCTTCCCTCCAAGATTGCTGTTCTAGGGCATGTGTTGCATATGCAGTGCACATGAAATAATGGCTTTTGATGAGCAAAACTTAAGAAGCTCAAGACTCTATGATGTGGAATCTGAAGGTTGTTCTTTCAAAACAAATGAGCCCAGAGCGCATTTGAAAAGATGCTTCCTGAATCATTAGTACAATATGTGTAGCTTCTAAATTAGGATTTATAATTCTGAAGTGACAAGAGAATTGTCTCAAATGTTTCTTTGAAGAGGGATTTGGAAAATCACTATGGCCACAGTGAGAATTCAGTGTCTGTGCCATTAATCTTGGTCATTGGGGGTTTATTGGTGGGCCCCATCAGGATGGAATTTCAGGCAAATGCTACTGTATTCGTATGAAATGTGGGGATCTGTATCGCATGATTTTTATCAATTTTTGCAAAATCAGGATTACTCAGGAATAGAGTGACATGGTTTCTTTTTGCAAATGGGAATGACAAGATGATATTTTCTGAGATTTCTAATTGTGAAATAGTTTGACGTGGGGAGCCTGTGAAGTGCAATAGTGATTTCTTTTATCAGAAAGGATAGGAGACAGGAAAGATGGAGAAAATGTGGTCATTGCCATATATAGAATCCTCTTCATACTGAAGGCGTATCATCATAACACATACTTATTCTACATTGCTTTCTCTGTGAAATTCTCTTGATCACCACTTCTAAAAACCCATGCTGCAGATGATGCTTACAGAACCAGCACTATTCCATCTCTATGGACATGCACCTTAGGCCCAACTACCCAAGGGATAGCCATTAATAGGATACCTTAATCCCACGTGCTTATAATGGTATCTAAAAAAACTGGTAATAGCTTCCAGGAAGCCCTTTGACAAATATTCTAGTACTATATACATACACATTTGTGTGTGTGTGTGTGTGTGTGTGTGTGTGTGTGTGTGTACAAGCAGGGTAGGCAAATATAGGTTTATAGTTGTTCATATGGAAAAAGACATGCAGGTTATAATTATTACAATAGCTTTATTTTTTAATATATTTTTATTGATTTCAGAGAGGAAAGAAGAGGGAGAAAGAGATAGAAACATCAATGATAAGAGAGAATCATTGATTGGTTGCCTCCTGCACACTGGGGATTGAGCTCACAATGTGGGCATGTGCCCTGACTGGTAACTAAACTGTGACCTCCTGGTTCATAGGTCGACATTCAACCTCTGAGCCATGCAGGTCAGACTACAATAGCTTTATTAATACTGTGCTTCACATACTCAAAACTGTAACCTACTTTTGCCCCACCCTATATATAGAGGGAGAAAGAGAGTTTATGACATGTGTATATATCTTTATAGTTCCCAGATCTTTGTTTTGTTTTTGCTTTAGTCCAAAATATCTTATGATATTAAGCAATCATGTGCAAATGAGAAAACAAGATTTTTCAAAAGAATTGGGCATCTTACTACAATTCTATGAGTCCGGCTATATTATTTATTACTTTGGGTAGTATATTTCTGGGCAGGCTTTGAGCTTTTATAAAAACCTACCTGAAAAAAAAAATCTGCCATAATTTAGGATTAATTTTTTATAGATTTGCTATCTCATAAAATGAATTATCTCGTAATAATGCCATGATTTAAAGCATTTCACTTCAATTTTTTTCCATTTATCTACTTGTTATTCAAAAAGGAGGTGTTAGCCAAATTGGCGTATTTGAATACTTCACTGTCTGACATGCCAAATTTTAGATTGGATTATGTTTTATGGCCAAGTGCTAAGTTTTTGGGAAATGTGGTTGAGAAAAGAAGGTTGGCAGACCTTTAATGTATAGTGCTCAAAGGAAGAGCTTTGCTTCTCTCAAAATGTGTACTTGGAAGTTTTTCTTGTGATGTTTAAAAAAATTAACAGAATAATTAATGGAATGATGATGCCTTAACTTTCTCAGAAGAATAGTCTGTTACACGGAGAAAAGGCAATAGTTGTTCAAAGGCAGACAGAGACTGGTAGAGAGAGACAAGGAAGTATGTGCTCTAAGGAGTTAGGAACCACACCTTTCTCCCTCATTACTTCATCCCTAACACCTAGTACAGCATAAGGCAAGGTGCGGACAAAGGTTGAAGTGTGTGTATCTACCAGGTTTATGGAGGAATCTCAATCATATGAATGCTGTTTTTTGTTGTCGTTGTTGATTGGCTACCACTACTCCCAACTCGGTGATGCTGATCTCTTACTTCCTGCTGTGTGGGATCTTTCCATCCCCTGGTGCAGCTAAGACCTCTGTGGCCCTCATGGCTGAAGTGGTGGGCAGCTTCTCATGTCCTTTTCCCACTTCTCTGCCTTCCCCTCTGATGATGATACTGAGAGAAGGATGGAAGAAGGTGATCTTCCGACCCAAATGCTTCTGCAGGGATATAGCTCCTTTGCACTGCCTGCTTCGTACATGTCTCCCCAAATGCTGACTCTCTCATCGAGTGCAGTTGGGGATTTTTCAACATCCCTAGAAAGGGAGATGCACCTCACATCGTAGGCTGTTCTGTCTTGGGCATGATCTTGTTGGACGGGACACCAGCAAAGGGACTCAAAGGCCAGCTGCTTTCCTTGTGGTTACTCAGCTACCAGGAGTCCCACGTACCTGCCAAGTAAGAGCAGTGCAGGCTGTTTCGCTGCTGCTGCCTCACTGCACCCGCCACCTTGCCGCTGCCTCCATGGCGAGTGAGCTTCAGACCCAGTGGGTTCAGTGGCTTTCCAAGCCTCACGCAAGTCTTCAGCTTGGAGAAGTTGTGGGTGACCATTCTAGCACACTTCAAAATTTACGAGCAACTTTCTCATGATTTTCTGATTTGTTCTGTTGGTTGGGAGAAATTCTTTTCCTCCTCGTCAAAAACAATAGTGTTTATCTTGAAAACTGTTGTCTCCAAGCAGCACTTCCTCTTTTCTAGTCTTCCTCTTGTGCTAGTCAAGAACAGGCAAATGGGGTTTGGGTTTCTTTGAAATGCCTTCTCTCTATAAACCCTGTAGGGAAGTGGCTTGGCACAACTTCCATTGTTCTTTACAAGTTGGAATGTTAGTTTTTAGCACTTTTTAATTCATATTTAGATCTTACTAATTCTGGGTAATGGAAAGACATTTTTAAAAAATCTATAGCTATCTAAAATCTTCGTCTGGATTCTGGGGAAGCACATTCTGATGGAGAGTTATGATCACATGTTTATTGGGGAGTGCTCTCTGAAGATACTTCATCTGTGAGGAAGTGAGGAAAGCAGGGTGGGCAAAGGGAGAGGCTGTCCCATGACATCATTGCAACGGAAGTCTCAGCTGATGGTATGGGGAGCCCTGGAGCTGGGTTGCCCCTCAGAGTTGTTCTAAAGTGAGGGACCAGACCTGTTTCCTGACATCAGCTGGCCAGCCATTGGTTGAAAAGAGGGGAGACAAATAAACTGGGGTGAAGTAGTATCCTGTTGCAGTGGAGAACAAGTTCCATGAGGGCCTCTGTGAGCCACCAGCAGTCCATATCCCAGCCTCTGGGATTTATTGCATTAAATATCCATTATAGCACCTACAGCTTATCTGTATCCCAGGCAAGTCCTGGCTC